AAAACAACTTTTGTTTTTTTTTTTTTTTTTTTTTTTTTTTGTACTTTTACTTTTTTAATTCATTTATGTACAAATCAATTTTGTATAAGAAACCATACAATGTACCTATATTAGTAAATGGTTCACTTTATATTACATTGCGGGAAAATAATTATTTCAGTCAATAAAATTAGATCAGTTTAAAATCACCCCATCCCCCCCCTAAAAAAAAAAAAAAAGTTGTTTTCTAATCACAGCCTTGGGATAGGGCACTGTTGAGTAATACAGTAATATAGTACACTCTGTTTCGTGATCGCGGGGTATAGGTTTAATGTGCTATGCCATATAATATACAATTTTACGAATAACGTTTCATAGGTATCGTAATGATATTATTTCGAACGGTGAGGGATACTAATAATTATTAACCTATAACAATTGACTCAGATATATGTAATAATTTATATTCTCTTATCTCCTATAATATCCATTATTTAACTCCCGATTATCGGATTTCTACGAGTGGTGTGGCAAATTATCAAAGAAACCGCAAAGTCCCTAAAGACGCGTTTGTTCTCCGGCAGTAATAATAATATTGTCACAAGTCCTAAACACTAAAACACTTCTATCCGTTATTGTGTACTTCCACCACGCCACGTGGAGAATATAGATATTAAATTTCTATTATGTATTTAACAAGGATGGCCAAACGGTCGATCGCGATCAACCGGTAGATTGATTTAAATGTCGACCTCGATTTTGTTCGAATTTATTTTTATATAATTAGTAGATAACTAACAATTTGGTGATCATTTTTATCTTAATGTCTATTATCTTTATTTTTTTGTAGATTAATCAAGTAATATCTAAAATTCAACACAGTTTATCTAGGCAATTGTAATTACAATAATAAATGACCTACAAAATAATAAATAATAAATAATTACCTACCTTAGTTTTAATAATAGTGTGATGAAAAACATTATTTAACTATACATTTTAGTTTCATTATTTTGTGTACATATGATTATTATTAATACCTATTAGGTAATTTATAATTATACATTTTTGTAAGGAAGTCGATCCTCAAAGGAAAAATATATTCTTAGTAGATCTCTACCAAATAAAGTTTGGCCACCCCTGGTATATAATATAATATATATACTATACATAAAACACGAGTATTGTGTCTTAAATAAGCATTTTGTGTATGGAAAATGTTACACATACCTCATGTTTATATGCCCTAAATGATCAATTTTACAATTTTCCTTCTTCCCGACTGACTTTTAACAACAATATGAAAGGAGGGGCAATAAAACAAACTCAAATGAAACGTTTGTTTAATTTCCTTGATTACATTTAGAAATATACTACTAACCTACTTAATAAATGAAATATGGAAATAAACCTCATACAACATAATTTAACATGAACTTGAAACGATCATAATAAAATTATCTAAAAATACGGTCAATGGGGCGAACCATAGCCGCCGTGCCCTCCTGGCTATACCACTGTCTTATTTTTATCTGAGTGTACTACAAAACTAACGATTCCGTGTGAAAGTCACGGAAAAAAAATTATAAATAATTATTTTAGAACAATATGTAGTGCTGGGAATATGGTAGATAATAATAACAATGTGAATTGTACTTCGAACGGTATTAGTATTACCTATATTGGACCGGTAATTGCATGGTCCGTTGAGATTTTCGAGACGGTTAGGTTATAAGTTAGGTATTCGAATCGCCATTTGCCACAATAACCGCGAACAATCACCTATAATAATATATGTTATATATGGTAAAGCGGATTCATTTTACCACGAAATATAGCAATTATTTACGATATTGTACATATTTTTAAATTCTGAGCCAAATGAGGAATGTATTGGATTTACAATGATGTTTATTTTTATTTTCTGTAAACAACTTTTCAGAATTCTTGTTCTAATGTATCAAGTGTAGTACATTTTCTGGAAATAAATTTTATCTCGGTGGTACTATAAAGAGGTCATTTTTTGATTTTCCGAGTAGTTTTCATAATAATTAGGAAAAAACGTAGGAAAACAGGAAAATTTATGAAATATATTATTTTTAATTTTGTTTTTATTCTAATTTAGTTTTAAATATTCGTAGAGACTCGAAATTTGTAAAGAAAAATTATATTTATTATATTTTTTTGCCCAGACGTGTTAAAGTTTTAAAATTATTTGAGCAATTTTTGAGCTATTTACAGACATTTTAATTTGTCGAGATCTTATGTAATTTTTATTCGGTAGCTACTCTGTGGATTCAATTGTAAGACTAAAAGAAAATGCTTATAAACTTAACAGGAGGTTCATTATAAGTTGTACTTAGTGTTCAACAAGAGAAAGTTGGGTTTAATGTCGAATTTTTTTTTTAGACCAATTTTAATATCAAATTTTGATAAAAATCTTAAATATTATGGCCTTTTAAATCATGTAGTGTGTGTCATATGATAGGCCACCGGTTGGCCCTCGCCTCAGTCTCTCTGATTCTCTTTTTTTTGCTCCTTGTGGGACAAGATCTCTTCCATTATGTAGTAGAAAGACAGTGCAACGAACAGAAACGAAGTGAGTTGTTCATACCTGACGCGACCTTGGGCGTGGAATGTTCGCTGGGCCGCAGAGAATATACTGAACGTCATCAGGTGTGAAACTCCTGCTGAAAAACGCCCCAACTGTCGACCGAAAGGGTTCCCAGTATGGACAAGGACAATCGAAGAGAGTATGTTCAACCGTATCTTCCAAGTGTTCGGTCGACAGTAATGGCAGAGTGCGTCAGGAGCACGTCCCGTGCGGCGTAGTATTGCCTAGAGAATCCATGCCCCGATAGAGCCTGTGTGACATGAAACGTGAGATCCTTGAGCCGTCTCGTCTTCTATCTCTCCAGGTCAAACAACCTACCTGCTTCCTGCAGTAGAATGTAATATTTTGAATAGTGAAAACAAACACAATAATGCAGTACAATTCTACATAAAAAAAAAATGTTAATATAATTACTTTATTAGTTTTCATAATATATATTTATTGTTGTCATCAATCTTATTCATTTTAGTTAACAAAAAAACAAAAACAATCGTTTGCTTCCAATACACAAAAATACTCAAAGAAACGGTTATTTATTAATTTTGAATACCTAATGTAGCGAAAAGGTTATTTGTTTTACTAAGATGTGTTTTTTTCTCAAGAAACGCTTTTTCAACTGTAAAAATTCTCCAAATCATTCGCATCGTGACTTAAAAAATGTCCATTTTTCGCCTAGTGTTACTTTATTTGAAATAAAAAGAATAGATTCCCAATATTCTTTCTATAAAATTAATAAACAATACATTTTAGTACGTTAGTTTTATTTTTGTCGATTTTTGGGTTACCTTGGCAACAAAAAAAAAAACATACTGTTACGACTAGTATCTATTAGTAGTTTTTCATTCAGAAATGATTTATCGTTCTTTATAAAAATTAATTATTTTATATCCTATAGCATTCAAACATCACACCTACTTACAGAGACCTACCCTTAGAGTGAAATACGTTCGTCTTATTAACTTTGATCGTTTATTGTCAAAATTATAAAAAAAAAAGCGCATGAACGACAGAATTCCATCACTAAAGCCAAATTTTTCCAAAGAAAATTAAAAACTCTGTATTTCCTTTAAAAACTTGAAATCTGAGCATAAAAATGATCGGAGAAGGAATTGAAAATTATAACCACCAAGAGGTACACCCTTTATACTTACACCACACATATGCAAAATATCATCACCCTGAATTTATTTAAGAGGTCAGTAAGGGTATAAAAAAATTAAAAACACCATTTTCTATCAACAACATGGTTAAGTTCATATCTAACTTCAACCAAAGTTGTATCACTACAATTTGCCTAAAAAAATTCTCTCTAATTCTCGAATTTTAGCTCTTTTGGTCCAAAGGAAACCACTAAAAATGTCCAAATGTGCCGAGGAATATAAATATATATATTATGTATATTGTAAATAACAGACACAATAGAGTGCAATACTTTCTATTTTTTAGGAAAATTTTACAATAACTAGTGATACTGATTAATTTTTATCAAACAGTGAAAAAGCGACCGATGTTATTTTTTTTTTTTTTAATTACCCAATTCATAAGTTACTATAGTTTTGTGAGTTTAACTGAACATGGTATTATTTTAATAATATTTATTTAACACGCATGTTCATTTTTTTTTTTTTTTGAATTTGCCATACAAAAAAGTAACAGCTGTTTAAAACAAAATGTTTGTAAACAAAATAAAACACTTAATTTTAAATAATATTTGTATTACGAGCCGTAATGAATTTTAATGTAATTTATAAATTAAAAAGGAACAATAATAATAATATTTACAGTAGGTAGAAACCCACGAATACGGTCCGAGTAAATAGTAATAAATATTTACCTACACGCATATATTAAACTTCACATACAAATATAATTCGTTTTTAATTTAAATCTATGAATTTAATTAAGATATGTGCATTAAATTATGTAATAAAACCCTTGCACTGCAATGTAATGTAATAAAATTGATTTAAAACGCAACCTTATAAAAACAAAACGTCGGTACCTACCACCTACTGGAAATAATAACAAGGCGTACACACGGGCTCAGATATCAAATACAGTATCGATTATTATAATAATTATTATTTCGTCAATCATACAGATTAGTATACATTATTGGACATTAATATTTAGACATTTGTCCGTAAATATGACCCACTAAGTACAACTTATAATGAACCTCCTGTTAAATCGTCAAAAATTTCTGTTTGATCTAACAATATTGTATCCACAGAATACCTACCCTATTAATAATACATAAAAAAAACTTACAAAATTAAAATTTCTAATATCTTTAAAATGGCTTAAATGTTTATTTATGGCAAATATAAAGTTTCTGTCAAAATTTCAAGTTCTATGAATATTTTTCACTGAATTACAATATAAAGAAAGAAGCTATCCTAGGATAATGGGAAAGGATGTAACTGTTGTAGATGAGAAGTGGGATGGTAGGATATAGACGGGAATTTAATGTATATCTTTATTCAACGATTAACCATTGCTAACGATAAAACGATTCTGAATGAAGTTCGGTCTATAGTATTGCTTTATTAACTTAACAACTTTTCTACGAGAGATTTTGCCCAGTTTTTAAGTGTACCACGTTTTCTGAAAAAAAAATCTGTGTAGAAAGGTATCTTAGGGAGGTCATTTTTCGGTTTTATCAAGAATTTTCAGGAGTTTTCATGAGTAATTTCTAAAACCCCGGGTTCGAACCCACGACCAGTAGTATGACAAGTATTCTCGACTAAAACAAACATATAATAAATCAATATAAAATTATTTAACATAAACATGTAATATCTGCATAATGCCTGAACTTCAAAAAGCTATAATTTCGAAATTTAGTCAATCCGCTCAATTTCGACTTTACTATCCTTCTAAATTGTCAATATACATATTATGTTCAATTTTACATAACATACATTTTTTCTGCATAATTTTTTACTCAAACAATTTTCGTCAAAATGTAGTATCAAAATTCCTTTATAAAAACAAATACTACATTAAACTAAATTTTCTTTTTTAACTACAAAGTAAGATTTAATCAACCTCCTGTTAAATTTTCAAGTATTTCTGATAATTTTGACAATTTTACTACAGAGTACCTACTGAATAAAAATGGCATCTCAAAAGTACCATCTGGACAACATTCCCTTTCAGAAATGGTGCCGCGCGTTTATATTTGAGCAAGATTTATGGTCAAATTTTTGTGCACAGGATAAAAAAGATATAAAAAAAAATAATATTATAGTAAAACCAATATATTCTTCTTTAACCAATAATGTTTTTTAACTAACCCCATACACATTATATGTATCTAATATTCTAATCATCATCAAACGAAATTTCACTCACCGTGCTTGATTATTATCTAATAATTTAAACAGCTGACCTAAAAAAATTATTAGTGCAACACTAATTTAAATGTTATTTCATCCTAATTAAGCCACGAAACATTTTTGGACAAAAAACGATTCGGATATTTTTCGGGTTTAATGCGGTGTTGGGTTTCTGATCAAATACGTTCCTGACATTATATTTTCCGAATATAAAATATTGTTCTGACGAAATATTTTCGGGCATTTTACGTGTACTATTTAGAAGGGGAGGGCGATTGTCTTTATCGATCCTCTCCACTAATACGTGCCTGTTTAAAGGTAAGACCGGAATATTATCATGTTTCGCACCAGGCACATATTTTTTTATGACCAGTTATTATTGTCATAAAAGTAATTAATCAATCATAACCAACACCTCACCTAGAACTTAGGCCGTAAAATTACTATGTACAACTTATAAGATAATAATATCATATAATTATAAAATTAAAAATATTTTAATGTTTAAATTTGGGATGCTATTGTAATACACAATAGTATTACTAGATATAAAATAGTCCCTGCCATTATTCTTAGACACGTCTACCTTGTCTGTATGTTAATCCGAATCCGTTAAAATTTCTGAAACCATTAAAATTTAAAATATAATTGATTTAACACAACGTGCCTACGTATATAACCGTTTACGAATTACGAGTATATTTGATTGTTGTAAAAAAAAAAAAAAAAAACAATCATTTTGAAAACAAATAATAACATAATATAATACGTCATAAAATTAGAAAAGTAAACTAAATACTTTCTACAGAGTAATTAATATAAGTAGTTACACATGTGTAAGTATGTATTTATGTATGTATGCTTCTCGTCAGTCGTCTTACGTATAATATAAAAAGAGGTCGGCATGGCTGTACATAAATTATTATTTACTGACTGGGAAATTACGATGTGAGGCGAGTTCACAAATTAAATTTCGATGCCTTAAAGAAGCTTCGGGGAACGTTTACAAACGATTATTATGACCGCAAAGTCACGAACGATTACTGACGTGTCGTGTACCAAATGATGAAAGGGTTAAACGTGCAAAGCCACGAATTATTAATTTTCAGCTCGAACGTTTCTCGTAAGGAAATTGCATTATAAGATAAAAGAGAACCAATAGACCCCCTATGTGTACAAGTATAGTTCAAAACTTTTGAAAAGTCTTATCGTTTGAAAATAATATTAATAGGGCGTAAAAGTTATTATTATTTCCACAAATAGGTATATAACGAAATATTATTCGATTTTTAAAAAATCGATAGTCATTCCAAAATATACAATTTCCTTCTCGACTTAAATCCATTTTCACCTTACATATTGTATATTTGTGTCAATCGCCCATGTAACTATACAAAATAATAAAATCTAATCGTTATTTGTTTTTGGAATAATCGTAAATATCGATATTAAATTATAACATATATTAATCCTATACACGTTTTAAGGACGAAAAATGTAATTGCATTAATATAAGATAAAAAGCCATTCAAATTATTTCTAATTACGCAAAGATAATAAATAATGGCCCGTGTTTTGTTTCATTATAATTATAATAATTACACGCAGTTCATAAAATAGGAATACCTACTCTAATAATTATTATTGTAAGTATACTCTGCTGCGGGCTACGAACATTATACAGTATATACAGTAATTATTTTGTACTCGAAATCATAATTATTATGTGTATACGTTAACTTTCGATTTCGAATGTTCGAACGGAAATAAATTTAGCACGTGGTTTTCAATCGAATCGGCACATCGACCCGTAAACTCGTTTAGGTATCTAATTAGTTTTCTAAATTCAAGAAATAAACGACACGTGCCTCCTTTTTTCTTCCCCCGGTTGAAGCAATGAACGTTAGATCTAATTAAACAATTTTACTACCCAGCTGTTTATTGAAAACGACACGTTCCTAACCGTTGGTATGCCCATGAGGAAGTTAAGGTGCCTCCGATCCCCATTCGGCCGTGTTAAAATATAAACAAATATTATAAACTATTTAGCATTTTAAAACTTTTGACTTACAAAATCATAACATTTACACATTTTCATTTCCTACTATCTCAACTACTTCAAGATAAAGGCTTATGTATAATAATAGACGGTATTATGCTTAATTCACTAATTTTTCCCTCTATTCAATACTTGAGAATCCTGGGTACACCATTATACCTAAATATACCTGACTACCTACATTTAAATTGCATTTGAAACGGTCAATTTTTTAGTTTTAGGTTTGAACCACAGCAAGTGGTACGACATATATTATGATGTGGCGACCAGCAAGAAAATACCGATAGTTCAAAGATTCGGGGACCGACAAGATGAACCGAGTACTGCCCGCTTTGGACGTATACCGTGTTCGTGTCAAAGTTTATCGTGCGGTTGCTGTGCACAGTTCAACGTACGATTATTCAATTACAATAAAAAAGGTTTACATATTATATTATATTGATCGGTCATTAATTTGTATATTATTATTATTTCATCGGATTTCCTATGGTCCATTATATTATATAATTATTCCTTTATCATTATATTATTATACCTGTAGTGGTTATATAGACGAATATTTGAGGTAAATTAAGTTAAGTTCCTTTGATTTTCAATTTTCAATTATAAAAATATTATAATTACGATCACTCGGCGATTTTATACCAAATGCCTAAAAAAAAAATCTAACATTTCATTAACTTAAAAATCTTCATCAGTAATAGCTGATAAATTATACAAAAAAAGAAAAACTACTATAATTAAAATAGTAATAAAAATATGAAATGTATTTAATTTTTCGTTCCCGATTTTTAAATAGGTATTCCAAACGAACGAATATACTCGTATTTTGACATTGTACAAAAAACACTCGAACACTCACAAAATTAACTTTTAAAAAATCTTGATTTTAGCTTTCATTTTTTAAGTGCAAATGAAATCATGTTAAATAAAGAAAATACATATATAAATGAATAAATGAATCAATGCGTCGCCTGGAGTATTATGATAATTATAAGTGTTATTATGATAGTAGTATCATAATACTCTAGGCGGCGCATTGATTCATTTATTTATTTTATTTTTGTATATACGGTTTTTTTTATATATATATTTATTTACAAATATTAACCATTTTAATAATTTTGTTTTTACTTTATTATTTTATCAATAATCATTTTGTTTCGTATCACAGCAATATTATAGCTACATCAAAATACACTAAAGAAAAATAGTTTAGTATCAAACGTTTTTATTGACTATTTTAATATTTGCAAAACTATCCAAATTAACCACGATTAACCCGGTTTTAATTCTGTTACGTTCTGCTCTTAAGTTCTGTTAAATATAATGAATAACTAAGCTAAGTCAAAGTTAATTTCAAACATAAAATAGTTTGGGTAACTAATTTAAGTTACAAACTTGCGGGAAAATGATAACTTAAGTTCAACTTCAAAAGTTGAAAGTTACTGTTTTTATAGTGTCCTTTACTACACACTTTTGAACATATTTTGTACTATAATATTTAGATTTGTATAGACCTACTATACAAGACTCATGTAAGCATTACTACTTAGGCCGCATGCGTCTTCATATGTGATAAAAAACCATATTCATAAAAAAAATATATAATTTTCGTTGAAAAATAAATATAAATAATACAAGTACTTAAATATATTTTATTTAAATCCGCAAATAATTGTTCAGAACTAACCCAAATTTTAACAAAATAACTAAGTTCAAATTATTTATTAAAATAAATGATTATGTTATATTCTAACGTTACATTTTTTAGTTTTTATTATTATTTTTTTTTTTTTTCTAACTAGTTTCTCCGCCCAGTTTTGAGTGTCTATAGTGTAAACTTATGATGGAAATTCAAATATTTATTGTACCTAAAGCGTATTAGAAAAAACATTGTAAAATAAATAATATTGTGTGACGAATATTCATCAATGCAATATAATATGTAATATGTATATAACTGTAGATACTATTCCATCATGCTACAGTACTATATGGCACATTGTAAGGAAGTAAAATGGACAGAGTGCAAAGCATAAAATACAAAAATAAATAAGTGTAAAAAAAAAAAAAAAATGTCTATATGCGTAAAACAAACTATTGAAATACGAACGCGTATAATATTATACATATTCATGTTATCCAGAACTTCTATACATTTATCAGAGCCATATGACACTTTAAGTATATACACGCATATGTAATACTTGCGAATGTATTTATGACTTTTACTCTTGAGTATTTCACTCGACTGAAGTTACAACATGTATAAAATTTTCACGTTTATTCATATTTTTTCATTTTTATATTCACATAACAATAAGAACATTGGATGTTTTTAAATTTTGTACATACCCAAGTTGTATTTTTATTAACTATTGTAATTTCTATCATACCTAGTAATAATTATAAATTTATTAGTTCAACGGAGTTTAAGTGTGTATATTACACTTTGATACGTTATTTGATGCAAATGCTAAGTTTCGTTTCACACTATTATATTAAAATCTATAGACATTTTAAAATGTAATCAAACAGTTGTATATAAAGTATTTTTAAAAAAACACACATACTAATAAAACTTAACAAAATAATTGAGAAATAAGAATTAATACGATTGTTATAACGTATCGTCAATATTATAGTTTTAATTATAATTCTAGTCAGACCTAATACTTTTATTTAATTGACCGTAGCAGGGAACGTTTTAAGTGTACGTGACACGATATTCAATATGATATTATTGTTAGTTGACCATGTTTGACGACTCATTCTTCTGAATGGAGAAAGTTTCGTCGAACATTTCGAAGAAAATAATTATTGTGTAGATGGACAAGTGGTTTTTTTTTTACATTCTAAAGTATACCTATTCCTTTTAGTTTTTATACTTAAAATGTAAAAAAATATTTTCAATTTGATTTCTACAACGACACTTGATCATTAAACGTCCATTCTTAAATACAGCAAAAAACATTAAATTTAACATGAACGTATTATGCATAGTTACTGCAATAGATTAGTAATCAATGTTTTAAAGTTATTAACTAATATTATATTTTAAAATAATATCTACAAGTATTTTTAGCATTACTTATTTTCAAATTCCCAAGTGCCAATTCAATACATTATGCCTATGTATTAAATGTTGGGTGAAGGGAAGAATGTATTTGATTTTACTGTAAAGTGTATTTTTATGCCTGTAATCAATTTTCACGCCAATCAATAACTGTACTAACCGTCTTGGTAGCATTTTCAACATAGGTGGTGCATTAAGAAAGTAATTTTTTAATTTTTTCATGTGCCTAGTTTTCTCAATAAATTTAAAAAAGTAAATTTTTGCTGATTTCTGAGTTATTTTGACAAGGGAAAAAGTACGATGAAGAATACTCTGCTTAGAATCCGTGGTTTATCGTTGCGTTCAGACCAAAATTTGCCTATATTCGTTTTCATAGATGGAAATCAAAGAGGCTTGAGGGAATTAAGCATCCACCAGAAATGATTTATGTGCAGTGTTATAAAATATTAACATAGGTTTTTTTGGTTTATGATAATACATGCGTAAATTACAGAAAAAAAGTTATGAATATATATTTAAATACTTTTTTATTTTAGGATTTCTATTTAATACTTATATTTAAATTAATAATAATAATAATCCGTATTATAAGGTCCTCGGAAACGCATCAGAGTTCCGTCCCAATAACACTTAAACATTTTTTTATACACTTCTTTGTGAAAATAAAATTTATATTAATTTTTAACAAAAAAAATCTCACCTTCCTCATTACCCATATACCTACTATCCATTTCTAATATGAATTATTATTTTACCAGCACGGACACGCACAAATAACGACTGAACTGCCGAAGAATATATGAAATCAAGATTATCTTCAGTTTTAAATAATACCTATATAATTATATATAATTATTGATATTAGTATATAAAACTAAGTTTTAAATTGAAAGATAATCAATTGATTATTGGTTAATCTTACAAATTGTATATTTTATAAATAATGAAAAATATAAAGGGACAGAATTCGTACGTTGTTTAAAAAAAACCCGTGATGGAATTGGTATACCTTCATAATTCAATTCCAAATTCAATTTTAGATTCCGAACGTAGCGAGGGAGCTAATGGTTTTACAATTCTCTTTATTTTTTTTCTTTCTTTGTTCAAATCTGTGAACACGTTTTTTCCTAGTAAAATTGCTCCGATGTATAAGTGTAGTACCTTACCTGAAAGTTCAAATTATCTAGATTATACTTAAATAGGTTTTTTTTTTTTTGATTTTTGACGCTATTTTTTAAATAAAAGCACTTAAGTGGGAAAAACCGTAGAATAACGTACAATTTCACGATTTCATTATTTTATAAAAACACGGACGACGTTTTTTACCAGAAATAATGATTTAATCGAAAAATCACAATTCACCTTTTTGTTGCCTTTTTGATTTACTTTCTTACGGTATCATCGTAAAAACTACAAAAACCTACAACAGTTACTCCCATCCTTAATATCAGCTCTTTTTATGATGTAGCCTTCCAAAATCCCTACTTACAAATAACACTTACAAAAGTCGGTTTTTAGGTAATTTCGATATGATAATTAAATAGTTTTTATCGAACTTTATGTATCCTAAACTAAAATCTTCCTAACTTCCCACCAACAAGAGTGGCAAACCCATCCCTAGTATCAGCTCTTTTGTTTTTAGGTTTATTTTTGTTTTTTTTTCCGTACAGATTTAAGTTTATATTATTAAAACCCAAAAACAACACTTTTTTTCACTATTCTCTTAGTAATAATAGGTGCATTTTATGTTGATGTGAAATAAATTCTGGACTTAAATTTGGCAATGGGATGAACATAAATATTTCCCGTGCCCACAAATAATTATAAACGTCTAATAAGGAAACTGCTGGTTATATAGTACTATGTATACAGTAAAAATTAAACTTCAAGACCTACATACAAAATTCCATTATTAAAAAAAAAAACCCCCGTGTTCTTTAATAAAGATGTATTATACAGCTAGATTTAACATATTTATTCTTAAATTTAATTTTACAAAAAGTCCGTGCTTTTGTACCTTCACTGTACTTGAATGAAAAATGAAATTTTATACGAATAATAATTGTGGGTTATTATAAAAGAAAGGATTTTAATAATATATGTATACGTTTTTTATTAAATTATATAGTCAGGATGATTGTTTTAAAATGTATCAAATACTTTTTCTTTTCTTTTTTTTTTTTTTTAATTAATGTCATGTATAATTTCGAAAATATATTGTAATCTGACGTTTTTAACGAGTAACGGCGTGATTTTTCAATATTATTATTACACGTCCCTAGTCGACAATGAAAGAATACTATTATATTATTATTATGGTATATTATATACATTTTTTTTTCGTGCGCGCGCGTGATGTAAAATGGTACTAGAGTGAAATATATGTGCTCCCGGCAGGGTTTTCAGTAAGCTTGTAATTTAAAAAATCCAACAAACTACCAAACCTTAGGCAAACAAGAACGCTAATTGAATGTGACACCGTGAGATGAAGAAATATCGTCCTTGTAATTTCAGTTTTATTAACTTCGTACATGGTCTCGTACTTAACGTAGTAAATTTTGTGTTATGTATACGCCAAAATGCCGCTCCGTAGCCCGGAATTATTAATGTACACACCTAATAAATTATATAGATATCAAAATATACCGTCAACTTTTTTATTATTTAATTTTTTTTTTTTTTATTATTCAGGTTGTATGAATTTTACGTATGAACCTCTCGATTTCGCGATCAGAGGTAACCTGTACATGGACAACGAGTCATTGTATGAATACAAAATGTCCGGTGAGTATTATTGTAACTTTTAACTTTTAACTAGGGCTTGGGACCTAATTAATTTGCATATTTCTATTTGATAGTCCAAGTAAGATAGAAAGATGCTTCAAGTATTAACGAATTGAAAAACATCAAAACTAAATTACCTTTGTATTTAGTGTATTGTTACATTTATAACAAACGTGAATTTGTTTCATTTCGCATTTTTTTCGTACATATTTCTTTAGTCTCAGTAAAATGGGCTTAAGTCAATTTTGGAATTTTTATTTAATTTCTTCTAGTGTAATTTTACCCCTCCTCCTAAATTGTATAAGTCTATATACTTCAAAATGCAATTTGCTTATAGAAAATTGACTTCACCCCTTTTTCCCTTCTTCAAACCAAACATATATTGTTTCTATTTTTATTTTTTTTTATATTTGATGAAAGTGCATATTTCAATACATATTCTGAGGTCATTTTCTCTGCAATAAGTCCCGATCTCTCCTTATAAGTCGTAAAGTGAAAAATTGGAAACACGACTTAGACCATCGAAAAGTATTTTTAAAGCTTTTCATTATATTACAGTTATTAGTTTAGTCATATAAAAATAATGACTTCGAAAAAATGAAAAAGAGCAATACCTGGAAATATGAGAAACCACTGTTGTAGGTAAGAATTTAGGAAGGTAGGATACATAACGTTATTTCATTTATATCTGTAGGCAACAATAAACCATTGATAACCATTATAACAGCAAACAAACTCCCAGAAATGAAAATTCCTTAAAAGCTCAAAAGTTTTGTCGATAATACAGTCAGAAAGTAAATCAAAAAGGCAACAAAAATGTATCGTAATTTTTCGATTTAATTATTTTTTCTGGTAGAAAACGTCGTCCGTATTTTTATAAAATAATTAATTCGGGAAATTGTACGTTTTCCTACGGTTTTTCCCACTTATGTGCTTTTATTTAAAAAATAGAGTCAAAAATCCAAAAAAAAAAAACCTATTTAAGTATAATCTAGATAATTTGAACTTTCAGGTAAGGTACTACACTTATACATCGGAGCAATTTTACTAGGAAAAAACGTGTTCACAGATTTGAACAAAGAAAGAAAAACAAAATAAAAAGAATTGTAAAACCATTAGCTCCCTCGCTACGCTCAAAATCTACAAAAAAAGATCATACTAAAACTAAAGTCTAAAACTTTTAAAATACGAGTGAAAATCGTTAAAATCTGCAGTTTTTATTCGCTGCAGTCTGGTAAAACTACTCGACAAAATAAACGTGTATTTGTATACGACTTGAAACACTGTAGTATGATAAATGGGACATGATTAGATACACGAGATAAGTACGATTTCATACTCTATCAGGTCCTTTACCCCTTTACACTCCCTTAGGAGATGACATTTGAAAATACTTCAAAAGTTTCTCTTAGTTTTTTAGAGAAACGTACATTTTAAATTTCAAGGCTCTGTGTGCACTGATCTAAAAGAGACACGTCAGTCAATCTCGTGAGCATTTTATAATCCTTTTAACCAACAGCCTCGCTTAACGACTAATACATTTCGTGTAAAAAAAAAAATACAAATCAATCACAATATATGTTTCATTTTTTCCCCTTATAAAATGAATAATTTATTTGTGTTGAATTTTATTACTCTGGATTTGAATTTATCAGAGGTATTCATGAAGGTACGTAGATAGGCTGTGTTAGAGGTTGTTACGCCTCTGAGGTTTTATGACAGCTTCCCAATTTCGTCTCTGATGATGAGATATCTACGTATATAGACCATAAAAGATTGACGAATAGTGTTATTGCCAAACAAAAAACCCAACGTACAATAAAATCCATTTAGAAACACAGTGCCTAATTGTAAAAATTATACACATACACGTATTGGGATTATAAACTCATGATTTTTTATTGTGTATATACTTGTGTTACTGTTAACGATGCTAAGCCAACAACGACTATTATGCCCTCCAGATTTCTAATGACAACAGTACGTTATAATGAACATATCGAAATAGTGTAGCTACTACAGTATGATATTCCAAAAGGGAAATACAATTTAAATCATAAACGTAAATATTACGCACGTAAATCTACGATACGAGTATGTGTGTTATCCAATGTACTGGTGTGTCGTTTACAACCGCTAGAGGTTATCTATAGGTACTTGTATCAGTAGCGTTCTCAAAAATGTATATTTAAATTATTTGCTTAGTGAGCTGCACACCACGTACCCCCCCCCCCCCCCCNCCCCCCCCCACAATAACAACGGAATATACATTATATTGGTTCTATAATGATGTTTAATTTTTTTTTTTTTCATCTGTTAACAACTTTTCTATTAGAAATCTTGCTCCGATTTTCAAGTGTAGCACCTGTTCCGAAAAGAAACATAGGGATAACGGGAAAATTTACGAAATGTATTATTTAAATTTTTTTTTTTTTTTTGAAATTCTGTTCAAAATATTTTTAGAGACTTGAGATTTAGACAGAAACTTATATTTACCTTTTCTAAATATGGTAAAATTTAAATAACATTTTAGCCATTTTTGAACTGTCTATTTATGGAAATTTCAATTTTGCGAATTAGAACGTAATTTTTATTCAGTTAGGTACTGTGTGGATAAAATTATTTGGCCGAACAGAAATTCTCGAAAATTGAACGGGTGATTTATTATAGGTCATACTAAAGTTTAAAAATTGAGTGGAATGTAAATTTTTTTTATAAGAATTTTAGTGTATACATTTTGACGAAAATTTTAATAATTACGGCCTTTTAAAACATGTATAATCAAACTTCTATCAGAATCCTTTTTTGTTGGCAATTTTCAATCGTTTTGATTGACAGATGTACATTAAATTATCCTTTTTGCCAACTTTTCACCTACAACAGTGGTCTACTCATCGTGCGAAATATGTCCATCTTTTTACTTTTATTAATACATTTACAAATAAATAAAATAATGAAATTGCAGTTATTCTGTGCTACCACTTACCTGTTGTTGTTAATTATTATATATGTATATTATTGTGTATTATTATTACAATAAATAATATCGTTAATGAAGAAAATGATAACGAGTCAAAAGTTCTTAATCAATTACACATGCTACTAAGTATCAATTATGCATTGCATCACTATAATAAAAAGAAAGATTAATATAACAGTACCCGTTATTTGTCACAAAAAAAGGTTCATTTATCAATATTCCTCTGTGAGAACGCCCGTGATTTGTATTGTAATAAATAACTGCAGGGACTTTTGAAAGTCACAAAATTACCGTAAGAAAATGTTCTATGAAAAAAAAACCATGAACAGCTTTCACTGTGACTTATCGACATTAAAATATTAAACTTTTTTTTTTAGTATATTTGTATTTACTTTTTATTTGTATCCACTAAACAACCATTGACTACGGCTAACCCCTTTTTTCTGCCCTATATCAAGATCTGCTGTAAAGTATAGTTCTAGAAATTATCACTAACATACAAATAGATTATAAGGGCAAGAGTTTGAAATTTAAAAACTTCTAAAGGCACATCATCGGTACTTATGTTATTTCTAAATATAATTTTAACCCCGTTACTTGACACCGCAAGAACTGTTCGTAATTGGCACGAAAAAATATACAATACAGAGCAAAAGCCTTTATTTTTGGAGAACATTTAATAAAAACCCACAGTAACGCCTTAAAAATGAATACAAATAAAATTCACTAAAACAACCTAAAACTATAATGACATAAAAGTTAGTATTAATGTATTATTTCGTAATTCGTAATTCAGTGGTGTTGTTCGAATAAACGAGATGCGCTCTTATGACTTTCTATGTCTGACTACTTTCAAAAAAAAACTCTCGAGCACATATTGAAATTAAATCTCAAAATTTAGTGCTAAGCTCTAAAAAGACATATATATGCATAAACCATAATATCCTCTAGAAATAAAAACGACCAAACAGATGTTTAATGAAAAAGAAAAAATCAAAATTCCTTAATTGGTTTTCGATAGTACAAACATGACGGGTTTTATAGCGACGAGACCGACTTCGTCCTTTGGTCACATGAAAACTTCGCACAGATATTTCGCAATTAATTCGCAAGGCCGATGGGGACCGGTCGTGTCGTCAAAACGATATAATACTATAATATTATCTAGGCCTAAACAGCGTTCCGAACGGAATGGATTTTATTGACCGGTGTGTTTTTGCACGTTTCCCGTACAGCCAAAAACCCGCCGCCGGCCTGTTTACAAGTACCGGTGCCGTACATACCTTCGATGGACGTGTGCATGAAAATGTTCGACATCTACACGCCGGGCAGAAACTTGCACGCGTGCGTTAATTTCCTCACGCGCGTCGAACACGCCGAGGTGCTCGTGCTGGAATTCGATTGTTTCGTGATCGGCCGGGACGGCGTGAACATGGAAAAGTATAACGCCAGTAGCAGTACCGCGGTAACCACGACCGCGGTATCCTACGACTCGACGGTGCCCGACCTGGACGTCACCGTATTGGAAGCCGGCTCGCGGTCCAACGACACGCGACGACGGCGCGCGAAACGCCCGAAACAATGATACCAACATAGGGACGTACAATAATATACATAATAATATATCATAATATTACAATACTTGATGTATAATGTGTGTCATTGGATTTATTTCTTTTCTTTTTTTTTTATATATATTATAAAAATGATATTTACACGTAAACAAAACACGCAATCAATATGAGCTACAGGAAATAATATAATAAATTAATAATAATAATAATAAATATGTATTATTATGTCAAATAAATTAATAAATTAATAATATAATAGTTGTATGTACATAAAATATAATAATTATATAAGAGGCTGGCATGCGCGTTTATCACGCGTCGCTTCACCCGTGAGCAAGTCCCGTGTACCCTTATACTACCCTACTCTTACACTTTCTTCATGAAATGTATTGACGACTCGTCGTTCAGTGAGGACAGCCTCATCCTCCTGTGCGTCCTGCCCCGCCTGTCGTTCGGCACGATGGCCACCGGCATCACACTGTGCTTGAATTGCTTGAAACTCCTGAAGCCGTCATCGTCGTCTTCGTCGTCATCATCGTAGTCTTTGCCGGCCGGACCACTGTCATCCGTTGTCGACGTGGACGCCGCTTCGGTCGTCACCGCCGGTTTGTCCGCGACCGCCGACTTGGTCGTCGCCACCACCGAGCTTGTCGTCGAGTTCTTGTCCGCCGTGTCCGACATGCCCACCGCATTCAATGACGTCTCAATTATGTCGGACACGATGTCCTCATCGTCGTCGTCGTCTTCGTCATCGTCGTCATCATAATCCTTGTCCTTGTTCTTGTTGTTCACCGCGGCCGTGATCGTCGTGGGCACCGTTTCCACGCGATCCGTCGGGCTGTCGTTAAGTGGTATGACCGTCGGTCTCACTTCGTCGTACACTTCGGATGACGACGACGAAGATACGCCTGAATCTTGTACAACGCTTACTGTATACGAGGTAGACGTCACCGATTCAGCGCTACTCTGCTGTAGCTGTTTCTCCGTTACTTGTTGCTGCTGGCTAGTCACCGACTGCGGCGTAGTCGCTTTTGCCTTGACCGTAACCGCGGGTTTCACTGTTGGCTTGGCCGCGCTGGTCTCCGTTTCCTGATCCTCTTCTGCGCCACCACCGCCAAACAGACTGTCCAGGAAATCCGTGCTCAGTGCGCTCAGGCCCGTGTAGTCCGCGTCACCGGTCGACTCCACATCGTTCTCCGAGTCGTCGTCCACTGCGTCGTCGTCGTCCTCTTCGTCGTCATCACTACCTCCTAGGCCATAATCATCATCCTCGTCATCGTCGTCGTCCTCGTCTTCCTCGTCCTCACCCTGCAGCGTCTGGGACGCAGGCAACGGTTGGGCCGGTTCAACTTTCATGCCTTGTGGCCCGAACCGGAAACACGACACCCTCAACGCGGCCTCGACGTCATCGAGGGCCCTGAGTTCGAGTCCCAGACAAGCTTTGAACTGATCACCGTCCCTTGATATACCATACACCCGACCACAGAACTTAGATATTCCTCCTGGCAAGGCCATGCACACGGGCTTGGGTTTTTTCCCGGATATGGTCGTGTTACGCAATACCCTGTCTCCAAAGCTCATAGTCACCATCATTTGGTCACCTTTCAAATATTTCAACGACGCGCAACCTATACGAAAACCCGTCACGATTATTACTCATCAATCATCATAATGTTATTTTAATATGTCAAATTGCAGTCGAGGTAAATCCCACGGACCAATTGCAATTACTGAAAACGTAATATATTTTTGATGACGCAATTAACTATAGCTACTCATTTTTAACTTGGTTAAAACCTAACGATTTTTCAAAATTACGGTAAACGTGTAAAATTTGTTTTACCTGGTCCTTTTATGGGAACGACCGGCAGAGAAAAATCTCGGCAACAGTTGCACATAAGGTTGGAGCAAGCGCAGTATCGATTGGGAGGCGCTGCTTGTGGAACGTTGGCTTGCCTGGCCCGACCCATCATTTTCAAATGTTCTTGTACATCGATCAATCCGGTATTCCACGGCACTTTGTTATCCGGGACTAAAAAACGAAAATACTCGTTATTATAGCAATGTGAAGATTTATTGATAAATTCCCAGACTTACCCACTCTACCGTAGGCCGCAAAAGCTATGATCAAAAAGATCAACAGCAGTTCGAATACGACCGAAAGTCGCATTGTTGTGTAGATCGCTGACCAATTTAACCAATAAACTGTAACGAAAAATGTACGTAAGCACCATGTACTGCATAATAGGTGTAATAGACAAACGTCTAGAAGATCTTTTTATTTTTTTAATTTTCTTAAAAAAACATCTACAATTAGATATAGATAGAAATTGGTGAAAGGTTCGTTTGTATCATCGAAACTGACCTTGTCCTCAAAAAGAGAAATTCTCTTTCCGTCGCCCATCGAAACTAGTTATTCCCTTCATCGGTATTATATACATAAATACGCACATACCGTAAAAAAAATACATTTTTTTTTTTGTCTTAATAGTAATAATCATAATATTTAATCACTTGGGTACGCGTGTAATTTCAATCGCATATAGAATCCGGTATGCAAGACTTACTCTAAACCGGATAAATCCAGTTGAGGAATAGTATATTTTTAGTAAAACAATATTATTCTAACTATAGATTTTAAAAAATAGGCAATGGGGCGATGGGGAGGGGGGATGGAATGTGAATTTTATTGTTTCACATTTTACGATACACAGCACGTGCGCGCGGTTTTTAATCTAGCGAGTTCTACCAAACCGTAAAAAAAAAAAAAATAATAAAAAGCAAAACATTAATATTATTATTAATTTATTTTCGCTAGTTTACGATACTCTTTCGCTACAATAATAACGATTCTTTCGCCGTTGGGCAAACCTATGGGCAAACGGTTCGAAAAAACGTTTTACAGCTTTTTTCTCCTCGAGTTTTATTTAAACGGTTTGTGTTACCGCCGCGCCAATAATACAATATCATAAAAAAAAAAAAAAAATTGTTATCCTTCCGACAGCGATCGTGATAATAACGCGTGTTGATGGAATCGCTCGTACGGGTACCGTACGCGACATTTGAACAAAACCACATCGCTCCTGTAATACACTACGACTACGCGATTCGTTAAACTGAAGAACCACCGTTAAAATCGTCGAATACAACGACAAAATATTATAAAACAATACCGCGTGTTCGCCTGTAAACATTGCAATTATATTATCGTGCGTATATTATTGTTATAATTTAATTAGCGATCGCGGTACAGGCGTAGGTCGACCTTTAGTCGATCGGATCATCGCGAGGATGACAATAAAAAAATTATTGAAACGAACGCGACGTTTTTGTATATAAACGTCGCGTATCGTTTTTCACGCGCATCGCTGTTGTTCTTCACGGCCGTTGTTTCGTCGTAAGACATTTGCGCGCCGTTAAATTTGTGGGTCGTATGTTGGGTCGTCATATTTAACAATAGTATTGAAATGCCGAAAACGATTAGTAGATAGTTACCAAAAGTGCAAACTATCTCCCGACGTTCGGCTTGGAATCCGACCGCGACCGATACGGCCTAACCGATACCGTGAACGTAATATCAATTCGTTTGATTGGAAAGAAAATATTTTCTGATATCGGAAGATGTTTCTGTTTTTTATACCTGTTGCGGCGGATAACGGGCGAGTTGTAACAATAATAACGACCGGTCCGAGAATTTTATTCGACCAGATATTATCAAACAATATAACACTGGATATTATATCTGTATCTGTTTATTATTATTATTATTATTATTAGCTAATCGTTTACGACCATAAGCAGTCGATGTTTCAATTTAAAACGGTTAGGTACACCCGTCTGTGAAACTTTTTTCGTATTTTTCGCCGCATATATGCGCAATTGTTAAACGAAATTTTGAAGCAGACAAACAGACGACGCGCAAACGTGAAACACGACGCCAAAAAACCGCCTCGGACAAATATCATATGAATTGTATTCCTTCCCAAATGCCATTGTTATTCATTTTAAAATATTCGGGTAAACGTTTTGTTTAGTGTTTTTTTTTTTTTATTATTATTATTATTATTTATTTACGATTAAAACAATTTTATCTTAAAAAATCAACGTAGTTAAAAAACAAAATTAAACACCGCTACATTTTTTTTACGTACGGTAATTATTTAAGCATCTATGCAAAAGTATGTAATTTAGATAGGAAAATATCGCAGTTCACTTAACTTCCTAACTGGAATCGAATACATTTTTAGCGAGTTTTAGACGTGGCTTTTCATCGATATGTTCGAAACGAATGAGTTGCGTCTTGTTTTAATAATACGTTTAATCTATCCTGATGTGTATTTATTACAGAAATCACTTTTTGACGGTGGCATTAGATATGTCTCGATTAAAACTATTCGATAATTCTAATCGTTTGACACGTCATGCGAATCGTATCGACGGCGTCCAGCGGTAGGTTTAAAAAAAAAAAAATTTAAAAACCCGTCTAAAAAGGCACTCCCGCCTGAAAATTATGTACGGATCGTGGAGTCGGACTGTCTAAGCCCGCTCTCGCGGGAGACGCGTCCATAAACTATTATCGTAAATAGCCACCCGAAGTCTATTGTGTAGGCATTTACACGGAATAGCCGTAAACGAACTTATGCGGCGGAATAAATCCCGGAAAAAAGCTGAACAGAAGCAGATAGGTATAGGTGTTGCGTAGGTAGATAAAAATGTTATGTATTCGAAAAGGAAAAAAAAAAAAAACCGCACGTACCTTTGGTACTGTATCCCGGGTGAAGAAACACGTCTGGCAGGTACTTGATGGCTATAAACGCGGCGTCGGACGAAAAACCGCCTTGAACTCGTCTCTCGTGGTAGGAACTAAACTGTGATGCGATACGAGCAGTACGGCGGAATTACCGCGGCCGCCGTTCTTGTTCCGGGCTAACAACCGGGTCAGGTATGTGTGTCAGCGCCGAGACGATAGATAGCGTGTATAATATTATACGGTTCCCCACTAAAAAAAAAAAAACCCACTCTCGTTCCGGGACGATTTTCCTTTCGCGCCGACGTCGTGCACGGTGACCGTCTTACGTGCCGAACGCGCGTGGAGAAGCACTTTTCGAAATATTATACGCCGGACGTGCGGGTAAACGAACGGCGGAAAAATAATCGAATTTTAAAAATATAAGAAAAACCTGGCGGGGGAAAAAAAGAGCCAAACTGTGAGTAGAGGGGCCCGCCGTTGTCGCCGTGTACCTATAACGAGACGTGTCATCGGCAGACACGGGACTAGTATTCCGAACGGAATATCGTGAAGACTGTATTCGGAAAAATGTTTTAATATTTTGAATAGGAATGGGCCGATCCCTGGTAAACAACCGCGGTATCGGTTCTTGTCTGGTTCCAAAAATATTCTTCTTTCGGTTCTCGAAACCGGCTTTTTTTTACGAACAATTTTCTTACAGTATGGGATAAATTATTTTTTTTACTCCCTTAAAATGTAAAGAAATAGAACCAAAAATACGAATTTTAAAGACGTGAAAAACGAATAATACAATTTATACGATAAGAAATCGTTCTACCGAATATCAGTTATCAGTGTAATCACAGTAATATTGTATCATTCTATAAAAACAGCACTAAAGAGATGGACATAATTCGCACGATGGGTGGGTCACTGTTGTAGGTGAGAAGTTCGAAAGGTAGGATATAGAGAGGAAGAGACTCAAACCTTGTGAAACATAGGGGACATTTTCTAACGCAGAATGATTCGGAACGAAGTTTCATTTTATACATGTATGTATATTTTTCCGTTTTTCCTATTTTTTCATCCGGTTTTTCTCAACTACAATGAAAACCGCTTGGAAAATTAAATAATTAACTCTCTAATGTACCTACTAAATAAAATTTCCTTTCAGTAAAAAATGCTACACTTGATACATCAGAGCAAGATTTCTAGAAGAAAAGTTAATATATATAATAAATATATAAATAATAATATATATAAAATAATAAAAAAGAAAGAAAAGTAAACATCATTGTAAAACCTATACATTCTTCATTATACTTCAAATCTAAAAAAAAATTAAGAACCTGAATCGATAAGTTATCATTCCTTTGAAACCGCTGGAACCGAAGAACTGAGAACTGGAACTAGCCTAACCCTAATTCAAAATATTTTAAAAATACGTTTTTTTCGGAAGTATTCAATAATATATTCCGAATAGTTTTTGATAGTATTTTAAAAAAATAATACTTTTTTTCACTCTCATATTAGAGTTTAATATTTTCCTATAAGGAGATACGAGCTTTATTTTTTCTCAGAAAACATTATTTTGTTATTAAAAGTAATCCTATTTTTTTCAGATATTACTCTAAAATATGCATGATGTCCACTCGTGGTACTTGTTTTTGTTTTTTTTTTAGGAAAGCACGTATGGTCAGTTATTTCTCATCTACGAAAGTGACACACCCATCATAATAATTTCTATTATTCCCCCCTCCCCCTAATGATATGCCCAAAACATCTCAGTTAATCTTATCTCGTTTTATCTACTACTAAAGCCATGCCTATAAGTTAGGTATCTCTTATGTAGTTATGTGCATAGTCACATTCTGATTCTATCTTCTCTTGTTACTCCACTCTCTACCTAAGATTCTCATCTCTACCATATAAATGCACGTCTGTATGTAGTTTATATTTTACTGCGTTAAACATAACGATGAGTCATAAAAAACAAAAAAAAAGATTCTGAGCAGAGCTCGATTAATTGTTTTCTTTTTTGTTCAGTTAACCAATAAAGGGCCCATAAGAAGAAAAAAAAGGAAAAGCAAAGAAATCACAAGTCAAACATTGTCAAGCGTTCAGACCTCTACGTGCTATACCTATACCTATATATTGTTGTGCATTGAAATTTTTTTAGAAAACATTTGGGAGCCTATGGAAAAACAATTCAAAAAAATTATCGCGGGACGGATGGAAAATTCGACAGTGGCGTGAAAGTTTCGAATTATTTTTAGTAAACGAAAAAATAATTTCCGAGGAAGAAAAAAAACTCATATTTATAAAACTAATGGACACGAAATTCTAAAATTAAAAAACAGGTTTTCGTCATTTCCTTTTGTTAATATTCAGTGTTCGAATACCACATGGCACACAGCATCATATTATATTACATATATTATATCGAACTATTATCGGTTATTCTTCTCCACCTCTTCCCCCTACTCCCCCTTCTCCTACCCCTCCACTGCCGGCCGCCATTCCGAACACAGCGTCACCTGGGTCGGGCCGTGTGTTTCAGGTGGGTGTGGTATATCTGCGAGCGTACAGGTACGTTATGTTAACGGATGCATCACCGGATACATCAACAATAATGATATGCATAATATTATAATATTATTATTATTCATAGGTTCGGGAGTACCGTGGGGAAAGTCGACGAGGTGTAGAAAGCGAGGCGACGGCGGTGGTCACGCGGTATACCAACCCGAGAAAGCGAAATTTTTAGTCGGTGCATTCGCTCCGAACGCGTGTAATGTCCATTGTTGTTGTTGTTGTTGTCGTTGCGTTTATTCGTCATCGTCGCACCGCCTCCGCATTCTCCGCCCTTGTCTCGTATGATATAGGTATACGCCACTGTCGCCACTGCATCGCCCGACCTGCTCGCGCGTGCGTACCGACGTGAGTTAAACGCTACACGAGAGAGCACGACCGCGAAAAGAAAGTGGTAAACCGGTGGGGGCAGCAAGTGGGTGACCCGTTGACCCGCTGCCGGTATAGTATCGTTTAGTGACCGCCGCCACAGACACAACGGGACCGACTGCGTGTTGGACGTGTTTTTTATAAGATACCATTATATTGTTGTTGTTGTTGTTGTTTCTGCTGCTGCAGAAGCCGTGCACTTACCGAACGAACGTTGCGAACAAGTCATAATGTTTCGGCTAACGTGGTCGTGGTGTTTCTTGGCGGCCGTGGTGTGCTCGTCGTGTTCCGGCGCCAAGGTACCTCCTGCAGCTACCGTGACGGGTATGATAGGGCGTTATTTTTGCTCTCGAGATATAAAATAAAAATCATAGATAATAATGAGCCAAACGCCGGTTTTTTACCCACAGACTTACTTTGGACCGGACTCGAAGGTGTCATTCAGCAAAGAGGCGGACTCCAGGCCGAGTCCAAACAAGTGCCGGAGAAACGGTGCGAGTGCCAGAGCCCAGAGCTGAAATCGTGCGTGTGCTGCCTGAGAATGAGTATGCCGTTTTTGGATCTGACCACGTCGCCCGGTAAGTGTAACATAATAATGCGTTTTCCGCCACAAACAATATTGTCGTATTAACAACGAGAAAACGTACCTATATTATTATCGTTGTTGTTCATTATAATAATATGCTCACAGGGTGCGTCAAGTTCAAGTACGTGCCGGACATCGAGTCGATCGCGGTGAACGTGACCTACGGCAAAGGCAACGTCCAGAACGGTGTCATCAAAGGTAAGTGATCATAAAAACCGTGATGAAATAATTACGGTCGTAGATGAGGCACCTAAGACGTGAATAACAATAGCATCACGTCCGTTCGGTTATCGCGGCGTTATATTAATTAAATCGCGGACGTCGTCGCGATTTCCGCATACGAAAGCCTAATAATTATGCATTATAATATTATACATTAGGTACTGTTATTAAAGGTCGCCTTTCGATTTTCTCGGTCATCGTTTTATTATTATTATTATAAAACGGTACACTGTGTCGGTTCGCGGGTTCGTTAACACCGAAATCGTTGTGCGTGTGCCGCGATACGACACGCGTTCGATTTCGGCAGCGCACGACAACGTGTTCGGCGTGACGGGTCACTTTTCCCGAGTAAGAATGAGTAATATATGTACTAAAATGGCGTAGGTATACATATACCTGCATGCTATTACACGGAAAAAAAAAATAAAACCTTGCGGGACGAAACGCTATCGCGATGACATTGACAATGACGCGGGAAATGAAAATCCGCTAGTCGGCGGTTATACGATGATGACTATCGTCAGTAATATTATATATTGTGATTATTATAATGATAATTATTACGGCGACGATTATCTCAATAATATAATCGGTAATCGGCTGTACGTACAGTGGTGATTAGACAGACACTCGCGTAGAAAACAAAACGTTCCATAACGTATGTACAACAAGTAAAGCTGGGAGTGGGATTGTAACCAATAGAAAATAAGTTAAAAGTGGTAAATTATAATTTACTTTTGTTGACAACTTTCAACTCGACTAGTCGAAAAAAATAGAATGTTATAATATAATCGAGTTAAATAATAACAAATTTAACTGGATTATTTTTTTTAAAAAAAAAAATTCAAATTATTTACAAATTTTTTAAATAAAAAACAGTGTAGGTATGTTTTTTGCATTTATTTCTCGCTGAAAATATAAAATATTAGAGTAGGTACACTAACTAAGTAAATTCACTTTTTAATTTTAACTTAAGTCATTATTTTCCTGGAAACTAGTAATTATTATAGTTACCCAAATTTATTAATATTTGAAAATAAACTTTAACTCAGCTTGAGAACCCTCGGATCATTAGATATGTTCCCTGATCCATAAAGACTCACGTAAACCTTTTATGGGCTATATGATAAATTTTTTTCATGACACAACTCTAAATACTTAAATAATTATTTCATCAATATCGCGTTTAGAATTGTCGGTAAAACTTTTTTCGACCTTAATATAAATTACTTTTACCATTTCAATTCTATACAATTTCGATGAGTTTTCACAATTTTTATTTTTAGCTACCTACAAAAATCAGTACATTATTAGACAACCGTGTAAATAAATATTCGTTTACACAGGCAGCATTCAAAATGATTTGCAAATCTATTTCGCCTGGTTTGTGAATCTATCTATTTATCCTACAATATTGGTGTTTATTATTAATTTCCGCTGCAATGCAATACTTATTGTAGTACATTTTTTTTATCGGAAAGATGCAAACGAGTTAAATTTATTTATCATTAAATAATTCACACTATAATATTATTTAAAATTTCCTAAAATCCTGACTTCCTCTGAAAAATAAATATTTTGTGGAAAATAATAAAACTCAAATTTTACACATTTTTGATGAAAACGTAGTATTATATTGAATAAAACTTAAAATACCGGTAATTAACGTTTTCATGACCGAGTTTTTCGAACAAGTTCTTAATATTTTATGTACGTTATAATTTATAAGTTATAAGACAGTAAATATTTCATTAAATCTACATGCATGTATACGACTTTTAAACGACGAATTTTACATTATTTTTAATATTTATCGTTCAACATTTACCGAAATCAACTTGAAGTAAGTTATAAAATATGACTTTGACAGTCCGAATTGAGTAAAAACTAGAGAATTTCAAAAACAAGGTGTTAATCAAAGTATGTAAACTCGTATTTGATAAAGAATAATAAATTGATAACGAAGAAGAAAAACATGGAAATGAACAAATATAAACAAAAAATCAGTTTAATGACATACTACGTGAATTTTAGAAAGATTCTAGTGTTTAATTTCAGTTTGGTTCGGACACGCAAGATGAAGAGAAGCAACGTACAAAGTCAGGATTGATTGACAAGAAAGAAGACCCGGGGAAAGGTTGAAGAAACGTTAGATCGATGAAATATGGCAAGACCTTGGGAGATTAAAATTAACGGATTGGGAGAAAGGATTCAAGACCGAATCAGTTGGAACACACTGATGGTGGTGATTAGAATTGTTACAGTTATGAGGTCATATATTATATAATAACAATGATCGTTCATTCAAATGCTGACCATCAGGTTTTAATGTATACGTTTTATTTTTACCCAAAAAAACATTTTTGATTAGTAAAAATGCTCCGAATTTTTCACGCAATACACCTAAAAAATGCGGAATTTCCACCTGGTGGTACTTAATCTGAAAAATTTGAATATAAACGGATTTTTTTAAAAATAAAAAAATAATAATCGACGGGTATATATATTTTGCTTTTGTTGATTATTGAGTAACCTCGGTTCCGAGTGAAAAAATACGACTAATAATACAACCACCTTACCAGTTTATCGAGCTCCACTCAAAATCGTTTTTTGATTCCAATGGTTTATTGTTGCATTTAGTGCATAAATGAAACCAACCTACATCATACCTTACACCTTCAAAACCTGCCACCCACAAGTAATAGTAGTGCCCAGTACGGTTAATCAGTAGCGTAACTAGGAGGACTCGTTCTGAGTGTCTGGACACCCCTTCAATCCGTTTTTAAGTAAATAAATTTATTATAAAGTGTTGAAAACTTTTTTTTTAATATATATACATGTAACATCCCCTTTAAAAAATCTTAGTTGCGCCACTGGTACCTAACCAGCCACAAATTATGTCCGGTTTTTAAACATATGTATTTAACAGACCGTTTCATACAATATTATATTGTGTGATTCATTATCATAATATTCGCGTAAACGACACGGTTTACGTTATAACAGTTAAACACTAACATTTTCTAATATCAGCGCGTGTTATGAATATTATATTGTTGTCGGGACAAGTATGTCATAGCTGACAAACAATTGGCATTCTCGCGAACATCTACCGACTGAGAAAAATAAAAATTCTACTTTATGATTTGCTACCAAAATTCAATAGGCTACCGGTGAAATACACAAAATCGCGCGAACAATGAAATCGACAGATTTAGGAGGTACCTACTGTCGACGGATCATTAATGAATATTTAAGATTAATAAGTTTTTTTTTATTAAAAGTTTTAATATAAGGGACAATTTAAACTCTGAGTAAAGCGAGGAATACATTGGTTTAACTATTTGCTTTTGTTTTGTTTTTATCACTAAGAACTTTTCTACCAGAAACCTTATTCCTTGTTAATGTTTTTATTTTATGAGCTTCATTCTCATATTATAGAAATCTATAAAATATGTCAATCCGACTTCGAGAAACGTTGACGAACCTTCTTCTGTCAACAGTTCATACCCATGTTATGTTAAAAATTTCAGATTCATTTACGTGCTATCTATAGATTTCGTCTAAATTGTCAGTTATTTTAACCAAATTTAGAAAAACTGTTGAAATTCTAGACAGATTCCGCTCCAAAAAAAGTTGGTACCATCACACATGTTCTGGGACAATTTTGTTAAACGTTTTTTAGAATAGAACACTTATTTTAGTAAAAAAAATCTAGTAGATTCTAGTAAATTTCTGAACAAAAAACAAATTTCGTACGAAAACTAGCTCTTGAAGATCATAATCATGTATTGAGGTATTCATGTGTTCATTATTCGGGAAATACACCATTCGGGAAAACGGTATTCGGGCACAATCAATTAATATTATTCGGAAAAATTAATTCGGGAAAAACGACGAGAACCATAATAAATTATTGTACATTATTATTAATCTAATTTAGTTTATTGATCCCAACGTGAGTGCTATCACCCTTCTGTGGACATTTTCAATATTAAGGGTGGCGTTTAATTTTACGGGGTTCTAAAGTGGTTGATTATTACAGCATACATATTATAACTAAAAAAAGTCATGTTAAAAATATTGATATATTAATAATATCCATGAAAAACAATATATAACGCACATCAGATAAATTGTATTATTTTGTAAGAATATTATTATACTAATATATTATTCGTAAAACGAAACGTGTATTATTACGAGTATAGTATAATGTTATCTGAGTATTTTGAATTTCTCCGAGATTAATCTACCGTGAAAATGAACATATTTCACGCTGACAAAGTAGAATTGGAACTGTCTGAAACCTTATAGGTGCTCCTTAAGAAATTATATTCATATTTTAAATATACGAGTATATATATTTTTTTTTTAATAAACAATCTATTAACTTTCATTTTCGTTTAGGTTTTCCGCCTTCATTTTGGTTTTCAATATTTTTCTATAGCGGCCATTCCTTTCTTTAATTGAAACCGATATAATAAAAAAAAAAAAAAAAACTTTTCATCCAATAGTATAACAGGACGTAGATAGGTATAATTGAATCAAATTTCGCTTTAATGTGGTTTTATGATACAGTGTTTAATATTACTATGGTTATATTGATTCGTACCTACTTATTACTGCAGCGAAGGAATAAGTGATTTATTGAAATAGTATACGTATTCAATTTCACCGGGATATTATAAAATCGTATACAATCACTTTTGATATTGCAGTCATTGTTAACGAAAATAAAATTGCCACCTTAAGGATGCTACAATTACACTTGGAAATTTGTGTGTCACAGGTAATAACCCAGAACCCGTGTGCATGGACGTGCTAGTCGGATTCGGTCAACTGTGCGCCCGATTCGTTGGCAACTCATCCACGCCCAAAGACTTTGATGGTTGTCTAAAGTTAGAAGCCACCTTATTAAACGAAGTGCAAAACTCCATTCCCATGGGATGCTTCAAAATGGATGAAAATCGATTAATCTTCAATTCTACGTGAGTACACTATATAGCTGTTAATAATCCAATAATAATTACAGTTAAACAACTATTTCAACATTTTAATCTATCGATATTATAGCTTATAACTGGTGAACCACTAATCACCGTATCGTTTAAATAATTTGTATTATTATTTTAAAATCGCATGCAATATCGTATTATTGACTGCAGAAGGAATTCGAACGGGGTTTAAAATTGAAATTAAAGTACTTCACTGATGTTATTTTTTCATCAGTTTTTCAACAACTCTAAAAAATAACTTTGCATGAAGAACCACTTGTTTTCAATATTTTATGTGCGTTTGTAAAGTTACACGTGAAACTTTTTTTAAACGTTTTCACTAGGGGGCTATAAATTTTTGGAAAGTATTTTATGGGAACTGTATTTTGTCGAAAAAATAAATCGTTGAAAATTATTTTGTCGGAAAGTTTTTTTTTCGGAAAAATAATTCATTGGAACCATATTTTGTGGGAAAAATAATTCATCGGAACGTATTTTGTGAGAACTGTTCATTATAATTTCACCATATGCCTTCCGTGACTACATATTATCGTCGTAGGGTAAAAATTATTTTCTGACAAAATACAGTTCCGACAACATATTTTTTGACGAATTATTTTTCTGAAAAAATACGGTTCCAACAAAATATTTTCCATATTAAAAATATTTTGCGCACCCCCGTTTTTACTGCCACGAAAATACGTTTTTCATGAATAAAATAACAACAAAATAAAAAGTAATAACCTTAAGTACTATAAAAATATTCATATGTTTTCGTACGATACAAATTCGTATCCAATGTGCGCGCAGCCTATGACTAAAAGTAATGTTTTTCTCCATCTAATCAGAATATATTTGTTAAATATAAGTAGGTGCATTGAAATAATACATAATTTGTACATGATTATAATAATAATCATATTCCAATTATCTATTCGGTAAGGTAAAATAATAGACAATTATTATTATTTTTATATTTTTTTTTTTTTTTTTTGAAAATCATCAAATTTTTAGTAACTTTGACAATCAAAAAGTTAAATATTTGAAGAAATAGAACAACCTAGTAAGAAAAAATATACCAGCATTATTTTTTCTCTTTTTCTCACAATTTCTCTTTTGTTATTTTTACACTCTGCGTCATCCCGCATCATGTTCATCGTCGATAGATTCGGTTACCTACTAAAATAAACAATTACCTACCATTAATTATTGTTTTATTAGTATTGGTCAATAAAAAAGTAGTTTACATCACTTCTATTAGTTAATTTACATATTTCACGTGTACCTACCGCATATTTAGAAAGTTTAAAAAGTGAAAAAATAAATTTCAAAATCGTAATTATTACAGTATATATATATATACGTTTAAATACGTATCTCAGTGCTAAAGTGTGTAGGTATAACAAATAATATTGGTTTAAATCCGGGAGATCACAATATTAAAAACGATTTGCATGCACATTATTAGAGTATAGTTTAAATTTAAAATGTACAGTCTAATCTGCATGAAATGTTACAATAGAACTGCATACAAATATCATCCAATAAATGAAATTACTAATAATTGGGTCGTGAAGATACTTCAGATCTGGATGGTTTTTTTGCAAAACACAAATAATATACTTTTATTACGCATCAATTATTCGAGCGTTTGATCGCCGGTCATGCCGTCGCCTCGGTTTAAAAATCCAAAACATAATCCAGCTTTGCACATTTGTACGGACGTCGAAAATATATTATTTTATTTTATTTTTAAATAAATCTATACATTTTATAAAAAAAAAATCTTAGGATACGGTTGAAATAGTTACGAAAAAACTTATATTTATACAAAATATTATAGGTATGGGTATATGTATTTTACGATAAAAAATAATCAAAACTTGTTACCTTCAAACAAACCGTAAACAAATAATTAGGTAGCAAATTAATAGTATACCTACATAATATTATATAGTATTAAACTAGATTAAAATATACCTAACCTAACATCGATCCGTTCATTGGTTGAAGTAAATTTAAACCGTGATTTGAACAAATTATATACAATCGATCTGGTCTAATTATCAAATTATCTATAGGGAAAATAAAACAAAACAATCGTAGTTTCAAACATAATGTAAATTATAGGTTAAGGACAGAAATATTTTTTAACTAACACCTACATTTTGTACATTTTCCGGTTTTCCCCCTTTTTTTTCGGTTTTTCACATTTGATCAGAAAACTTCTAATTAAATCGAATAAACCTCCCTAAAGTACTATCCCATGATAATGTCCTTTCAGAAAAGGGTCTACATCGTATATATTGGAGTAAAGTTACTGGTTTAAAAAAGTGTCCCCGTGAAAAAAAAAATAAAAAATAAAAAAATAGACAGTTTGTAAAACCAATACATTCTTCGCTACACTCAGAATTTAAAAACATAACCTATAATATCGGGTGTAGTTTCTCATGACGGTTTAACGGTTTGAACGGTTTCACACAGGGCCGTGGAGGAGCAGTCTAACGGTCCCCAGGAGTCGAACGAGAACGAAGAGGAGGAGGAGGAAGAAGAGGAGGGCGTGGATCCCAACGAGGAGGCACTCTTACAGGCGTTTGGTGAAACGGCCGTGCAGAGCGTCACGTGGCTGGTCAACGCAATGGGACTGAACCTGAACCAGTCCAACAACAACACCGTTGCGGCTGCATCCGCAGCAAACGGTGCCACCGAACCATTACAACCTGCACCATCCGCAACGACGAATGTCTGATAAACGCCACCAAAAAACCGAGTATAGGCGCTTTTTTTTTTACTCTGAGGCACATCCGACCTCTCAACGAAACTATATTTATTTGTACGATTATTAATATTATTATTACTATTATTATTATTATTATTATTATTATTATTATTATTATTATTATTATTGGCATGTATGTATTATTAATAGTTTCTGCAGCGCATATCCGACGTCACTATTATATAAATAACATAATTTGCATACCTATACCTATACGCTCTCTCTGGGCTTGTCGCCGTATTTTCGCGTCATATTTTGCAACTGCGGTCTCCTATGTATAATATTTTAAACGACTCTATTTCGTTTATTATAATTTAACAGTATAATAAATTATTAAATTATTTTAATATGCAGTAAACGGTTTTGTTTTTTTTTTTTTTTTTTTTTTTTTTTTTTGTTACTCATCGAAACGAATAAATTTCTTTTTTGCATCTGTATCCTTATGCGTCAATTACTCTTGTTCTCGCTATCCGTATATACCTATATCTATCACCATTTCTTCATCTACTATCCGCATCTTAATTATATCCCATCGTTTATACCATCTCAATTATGAATTGATTCTATTCTGATTCTTTCATATTTTATTTTCATCTCTCTTATTCAACACCCAACATTCAGACCCAAACTTCATCTTTATTACCAATGTATATACACCGTTATTTATTTATTTATTCGTAAGGCAAAAACAGAATACAATAGAAATTTAAATTAGAGAAAATGAATAACATTAATGAGGCTGTATCAACAAAATAAAACAAAACAATAAGAATAACAAACTGGGAACTACATTATGATATGTATATTGAATTTTTTTTCCGGGCATTAAGCTACAATATGCAATATGGTTTAGCATGAATGGCCACAGTCACAGTTCTGGATTGGCACAGCAATCCACTTATGCATAAAGTAGCCGCATCTTCTGTATCCGGTAAGTAGACGTTATGCTACAATAATATGATTACTCGGTGGCGTGCCTACAGGATATTTTCTAGGAAACGGATACTGAAAATTTTAGTTTACAGACTCGTGAGGTCCATTCTTCTTCACGTTTAATAAAAATATAAAACATTTAAAACTCATATTTCCGCCAATCAATAACGGATACATAAGACAAAACAAAAATAAAAACAGCGTTTAATTTCTATATCGCACAATCATTGAACATACAATTTTTTACCAAACCATGTTATCATCAACATACATAATAGAAAATCAGATTTGTATCCTATCCGTGAAATCATCATACCTATCTAGTTAATAAAATAAAATAAAAAACATAATGAGATTTTCTTCAGACAAAGTGATAATTATTGCAGCGACAGTTTTGAAAATTCACATTTGTATATTATATCAATTAACAACGTAAGCAAGCACAAATTCAAAATCAATTTTCGAGGAGGGGGAGGATTTAAAATATGTTAAATACATGTACTTGTAGTTGGTCTTTGTTATATGATAAATATAATATACCTACTTTAAAAATTTCGGGGGGGGGGAGTTGAATACGGATTTGAACGTAGGCATATATAATATGATATTATACGATCATTCATTATTATATTAACAAACATAACTCATAGTCGGGCTCACGAAAAGTGAGCACTGGCGGCCGATAAGCGAGTTCAAAAATTGACGGAACCAGTGGTTCTCAGATTTAAAGTATTGTTTTTTTTTTATTGCCAAGAGGCGTGACGTGCCGTATTCAAAAAAAAAAAACATAATAATATAGCATAACAATGTAACATATTATTATATACATGTTGTATAATGGTATAATAAAATACGTACATAAAAATTTTAAAAAGCGCACCAAATGGTTTTGATAATCACTTACTAAAAATAGCCACTGAGATCGCTATTGTTAACGCTATCTTTCCGTGAGCTCAACTGTAGACATTTTTTTTTTAAAAAAAAAATGCTAAAAACAGATTATATTTAATTGATTGGAACGCCCCCCAAAAAAAGACCCGCATGTGAGCAGCCAACTTGTTTACGTAACAATATTTCAGGGTAATTACAATGATATTTATACGTATATATATAAGTATATATAAGTACAAAATTTTAATCTCGTTACTTACTTTGATGAGTCTGTGTAGATAATTAAAACCATTTTAAAAACATGAAATCTAAGCATACAAATAATTGGGAAAGGGGTTGAAAGTAGAAACCTCCAAAAAGGCACATCCTTCATATTTAATAAACTTTGCTTAAAAAAAATGTCATCCTTCTATTTTCATTTGGGGATTTATAGAGGTATAAAACTGAAAAATACTCTGCTCCCACAACAATGTTGTTAAATTTAACTAAAATTTCATCACTAATCCACTTACTAATAATTATTGTAATATTTTTTTCCTTTTTTTTTCAAGCAATTCAATCTGGCATTAAAAATATTTAGGGGGGTATCGAATATGAGTATATGACAATTACATATTCAATGACAAAAAAAAAGGACAGGAAATTTGAAAATGTTCTTTTTTTACATTATAAAATATTTTTAATTTTAAATTTCATACGTAAAACAACATAATATTTTAACTTACAGTTCAGTTATAAAGTTATAAAAAGTTAAAGTAAAGTTATAAATCAGGCGCGGATTTAGTAGAGAAGCAGAGAGGATGGCAGCATTCCCCCCACCATGTAGGCTGTGTTTTACTTAAATACTCAATACAAATTTAAAATTAATTATGTGAACGTACGAATTAATGTAGGGAATTATTATTATTACATACGTTATAAGATATTCTTGAAATTTGCTATAACTATGGACAACGCGATAACAATACCACGGTGTGGCGGTCGTGAAACGGAAGAACAACCGTTTTAATTCTAATATAATATATATTCTAATGATTAGAGTCTAATCTAATATAGTATAATAATTAATAATATAATATATTGCACAAAGTTTAGAGGAATCCACAGCGATAATTGTTTGATGTTTGTACAAAGAACGGTCACTCGATAGTAAATAGTAATCATTAATGGATATTATGTGTCATAATGGAAAAGCTCCAATATCAGAACATATGATCTTGATGTAGTCCTGCCGAATGTAGTTGAGACAGAGGATATTTTTGATGACAAGACTAAAATATAAAATAAGATTTTAAATTAATTTGGTGCCTTAGTAAGTATCGAGTTTTTTTAAATTTACCCAAAGATATATTGTAGCCGCTATTATAGTTGAGAAGTTGAGAAAGTAGCAGAGGGGAAATTTAATGTACGAGTATATCCGTACGCAATAATTAAACATTGCTAACGAAAAAACGATTTTGAGCAGAATTGACAATGTTACTTTATCAACAATATAAATGTTATACTATGGTACAATAATTACATATGCATTAATATTTTCTTTAATAATATTAATTTAATATTGTACCTTTTTTCCTACGTTTTTCCCGGTTTTTCTCATTAATTGGGAAAACTTCTGGGAAAGATGACCTCTCTAAAGTGCCATCCATGTCAGATTTCCTTTCAAAAAAAGTGCCACACTTGAAAATCGGAGCAATATTTTAGTAAAAAAGCTGTTCACAGATAATAAAAAAAAAGTAAATAAATAAACATTATTGTAAAACCAAAAGCATAAATCACTAATTGATGAGCTATTTAAATATGCTAATTATTATTATTGATGATTATTCTTATTAAAGTATTGTTTATTATTATTTATTATTAATAAGACGTTGATTTTTATTGTATTATTATAATGATTTTTCAAATATGCTGATTATTATTAAAATGCTTATTATAATTTTGTTGAATTGTATTATTATTATTATCATCAACTATTAATGACCATTATTATAATTATTGTCGATAAATATTATTATTATGCTCTTTATTATTATGCTTATTATTGATGAATATTAGGGCTCGGGACTAATTGTCACTACACGGAAAATAACGAGAAAAACGACTTTCTAAATCACTAATAAGATTAAAAATGCAAAGTCGTATTTTATTGGAGCAATATTTATGGTAGAAAACATAAAGCGTACATAGATATAAATTATAAAATTAAAACCTTCCCAAAGTACCAACTAAAATTTCCTAAATAAAATCCTAGATAAAATTTCCTTTTAGAAAAGGTGTATCAATTGATACATCAGAGCAACGTTTTTAGTATAAATTTGGACACAGTTTAAAATATTTTAATAATTATCATTGTAAAACCAATACATTTTTCCCTACGCTCCAAATCTAAAAATAAAATTTTTTAATCAACTAAAGATGACTGATTTTCCAGTAATTTTTGAAATAAAAAAAAATATATTGGTCAAAGTTGCTTGAAAAACTAAATAGTTAAATTAAATATATTATTAAATACTAATACATAGTATTTTATTTTGAAAATTAAATTCAAATAAATATAATATCAAAAATAGGTGTTCCTGTTAAAAAATATATATATATATATATGTGTATCTTTTATTTTATTTATTATTATTTATATTATTTATATATTGACATATGTATTTCAGTACTTTCTAATACCTCCCGAAATGGAATTCAAATCCAAAGTCATCCGGCCGAATATTTAGTGTTACTTGCAAGAAACTCGAACAAATTTTAAAAGTATACGTATAATAAATAAAATACACAATAACATACAGTACAATAGTCTCTATTTCAGGAAAAATTCGACAAAATATTAAAACCTATACATTCTTTTTAGTAGCTACGAACAGAATTTAAAAAATCACGATACAGTTTACTCTTATTACCAAATACCTATTTCAATAGTAATACCTACTATAACCGTAAATAAAAATACTCTTTTAATTAAACATTTTATAAAAATTACTATACACGTACAAATTCGTCAGACTGCATCAAATATTATAAGAAAACTAAAAACATTTATCTATTAGAATTATATCGGTTTTCACTATGGTTGACGTGCGCGATAATTTACAAATTTACAGGAAATTTATTTACATTAGAACAATTATTTAACCTAAAGAAATGAAAGACGCTACTACTAATTATTGTTATGAAAATTATACAGTTAATTCCATCAATCCATTAGATCAACTTTATTCAAACTATATGGGTTGTATCTCTTGAGGGCATCAAAGTGGTTTAGCAAAACAAGTTTGACTTACTATGATTAACTAAGTATCATTTAATTAATTGTTTGAGAAAGTTTATTAAACACTTCCGTCTATACCTACGTATCCCTAAATATATTTAATTTGTATTTATCGATTTTTGGACCTATTATATCAATGTGTATAATATTAAAAATATAAAATTCTTAATATACTATATCATATATTGTATTGCCCGCGTATGGTTATATACTAGCATATACCTATTAAAACCATTATGATTATTTTGACATTTCAATTAATTATTGTCTGTTTATATCATGTTGAAAATTTTATAATGTTAAATGTTGTGCTATTTATTTTAATATTAAAGT